GCACAAGTCACACACGGTTTGCTGCTCGTTGTCATTCTCTTTCAGGAAAGAGACTTATACTTTGGAAAAGGCTGTGAGTTGATCCTCGTCTTCAGGCCGTACTTTCTTGTTTTTTCCTTCTGAGCCATGTGCTTGAAATGCCAATGGAATGTTTCTCCCAGTTCTGAAATTTATATTGCATTGTTGATGATAGACTGCGTCAGCGGCATGCAAATCCTGAGTATATTCAATGCGCCCTTTCACTGTTTCAGCCCACTTGTCATCAGGGCCTCGTAGTAAACACAGCAGTTCCAACAGCTCGATGTGCGGACTTGATAAACAAAAATATCGCCTTTCTTTCTCTGGTCTCTTTTAGATCTCCCACAAAGTAGGCAGTCATTGACAAAGTCAAATTTAGTGGTTGAAGAGCGAAGACTAGCTTTCTTTGAAGCTGACCTATGCTCTCTTTTCCTTCTCAAATCTCGCTTAATTGCATTTTCATTACAGTAGTCATTGCGACACTTGGTGAGTAGAATCTGGCCAGGATAAAAATCTTGTCAAGCCTATTTTCACCTCTCGCACGACTTGCCTTCTGAAGACCTGCAACACCTTTTTGTGTCACATATTTATTTCCTGGCCGTCACTCAGGGATTGATTACACAGAGGACAAATTATGTCTCTGTCTGAGGGACCTGCAGCAAAAAAATATACAAGCAAAACGATGCCAGAGTACAGCGTAATAGTAACAATAACATTATAATAACTATAACATTAATTTTATTATTATTATTATTATTATTTTAATATTATAAAAATAATAATAAGTTGACGGTGATCAAAATGTCACAAGGACACAAAAACACCACAACCACACCATCATCAACAATAAGGGCATTATTGAGTGACAGAAAAATATGGTTGGTCCTTTACAATAGTCGTAATCGTTATTAAGGACAATAATATTAGTACGTATACCAGAAATTAACAAAACTATAATGAAACAAAACAATGGGGCCAGAATCAATGGGGGTTTTTTTATTGCATCAGCCCGGACTTGAATCAGGGACCTCTAGATTGTCAGGTAAGCGCTTTACTCACTGCGCTACCGTGTAACCACAAAGTAATATTATGGTTTCGAAGGGTTTTTAATGTTGCGGGGTTTGTCATCATATCGGCTGTACGAGCGCGATCATTGTTCTCGGTGTAAATGCTGTACAATTATGGATAAATAAATAAAAACTGCTAAGAGTGATGATTAGTTTTTTTTTTACCAAATGATGAATTCGATTAATTGCTTTCAGTATGATCACGTGGCGTCGCCATGGTTTACCAGTGATGTGTTTATTTATTATAAGCAGTCATCACAAACCACGGTAATTAATTGGGTATTCCCAATTAATTGATCATTGATCTATTTGTAGCTCGTCGTAAACTAAAAATAAACCAGGATCACTTCGCCAGCCGCCTTACTTTGGGAAAATTTAGCATGGCGCGTAGATGAATGAGTTCTCGAGATTAAACGGATTTTTAGACATCTCGCGAACATTACATTTTTCTCCTTTTTTGATATGTTAAACAAAATGATAACAGCAAACAAATGCAACAAATTTAAATTCTTTTGCAATTAAATTGAAGTGAAACTGGTTTAAGACTGATCTAATAGGCCAAAGAAAGACGGGAACTTTTTGGCAAATATATTTTTCTAAATTCAGGAACTGAATAAATAAAAAATCGGGCTCCGTCAAGGAGACCTATCTATCTTTTTGCAGGTACTTGCCAACTTTCAACTCTGTAGTTGTCGAAGCTTTATGGGAAAAGCGACACGTGTGTTTCTAAGTTGCCAAATATATTATATATGTGCATACATATCTTTACATAATTTATATATATATTTATTTTTTAGAATTTATTAAATGTATATTATATGTAAATATATTAATATAATATATTATATTTAATAAAATATATTATTTACCTCTTCATGCATATTTATAAAAATTGTGTTCCAGGACCACTAGCCGGCCCGGTCCAGCTAACGGGCTGACTGTGGTGATGGACATTCAGCAGGACGAGTACATGGATGCTGTGGACACGGGCGGTTTGCGGGTGGTCATCGGAGAGAGGGATGAGATGCCTTTCCCGGAGGACGAAGCAGTTGATGTGGCTCCGGGCTTTGCCACCAGTATAGCGCTCACAAAGGTGAGTTTTGTCGGTGGGTGTGGGGCGGGGGGGATTTCTGTTCTTTTTCGGGGGGGGGGGGGGGAGAGTTCCTAAAGAAAAAGAAACGTGTATTCAGAGCTACTTATACAATGGTGAACACGCTCGAGACAGCATTGACAGCATGGTTCAACGACCACAGAATAGGTGAAGGCTCTATATCACACACAACGGAAAGACCAAGGGAAGACGGTCCCTCAAGAGGGTCGGGGGTAGACAGCAACCTGAGTGGAAGAGCCAGAATAATATTCAGTCAGCTGATAACTGGCGGGATCAGCAAGCAGACCCTTTCACGGATCCCGGAGAGGAGGGAGGAGCAGTATGGCATTGTGCCGCATGCGGAGATACGTATCTATTCTCCACACAGTTGGTGGGCACTGCATGCCGTACACAAACGGACAAAACCCACACAAAACAAACAAACAAGCAAATAAAAAAGAAGAAAAATCGGCTCATGTCTGCTTTGGGGAACACGCGGCCATAGGTTCACATAATAAATTTGGAGTTAGATCGATTAGTATATATTGATATCGACGACCAGAGATCGCACACTACGAGAAAGATCTTGTCAATTTGTTAGTTTTTGAGCGCTTAATCAGCTGCTTGCACTGTATGCTTCCCGGGAAGCTGAGAATGTTTCGGAGTGTTCTATGGTCTGATGTGCTAATTATATAGTGTAAAAGCGCATAGAGCCTGCTATTGAGCGGGGATATGCGCTATACAAATGCTATTTATTTATTATTATTATTATTCACTCATCGGGAAAAATGTCCGCGGAAGTACACGCATTGTTTTATATGGCGCTGCAGTCAATGTTCTGAAACTCTCTTTCGTTTCTCCAAAAGAAGAATAGGAATAGCATCACCTTGCGCATCAGCTGTTCCGGTTCGCTCGGTGCGGAGTTTTGGGTTTATTTTCTTTTTAAAAGGCGTTATTCGGAAATTGTAATTATAATTTATACAAAAGCTTGTTAGTTTCACTTCCATTTTTCCCACACACAAGTAGGATAACAGTTTGAAAAGCGGTCGCTTTTTCGAAGAGGGCGCCACCGGATTTTGAGGACATTTTTTAAAATTGGATCAAAGAGAGGAGTGAACCATCTCGTTATACAGTCAAAGATAGTACATAACAAGATGGTTCACTCAGCCAAAAAGGTGTCCGCGGGAGTGCGCTCATTGCTTCAGATGGCGTTGCGGTCTTTGTTTTGAAGCTCTCTTTCGTCTTTCGTTTCTCCAGAAGAAGAATAGGATTAACACCTTGCGTGCGCAGATGGACTGCTGTTCATCAGCTGTTCGGGTTCGTTCAGTGTGGAGTTATAGGGTGGGTTTTTTTTTCAATGACCTCTCGCCTCTCTTTCTAAAGTCAAATTAATCGACGAAAACAATCGCCTCTTCCACCGGAAGAGATATTTTTTGTCAGCATAACGATTTTTTAAAAGCGCTCTCCCGAAATTTTAATTCTAATTTATTCAAAAACTTGTTAGTTTCACTTTGATTTTTTTTACACTAGTAGGGTAACTCTGTTCGTAAAGGGTGCGCTTTTCCAAAGAGGGCCCCACCGGATTTTAAAGACGCTTTTTAAATTGGCTCAAAGAGAGGAGTGAACTATCTTGTTATGTACCGTACTATCATTGACGTTGTGCAGGAACTCTGTTGATCAATGATGATACATAACAAGATAGTCCACTCCTCTCTTGAGCCAATTAAAAAAGTGTCCTCAAAATTCGGTGGCGCCCTCTTCGCAAATGTGCACCCTTTGCGAACAGAATTACCCTACTTGTGTGATAAAAATCAAAGTGAAACTAACAAATTTTTGAATATATAGTAATTCAAATTTCGTTTTGGAACAACTTTTTTTTAAAGGTTACGCTTACAAAAAAAAACTGTTTTTTTTGGTATAATTTGACTTTAGAATGAGAGGCAAGAGGTCATTAACATTTTGTTAACCCCTAAAACTCCGCGCTGAACGAACCCGACCAGCTGATGAACAGCAGTCGATCAGCGCACGTAAAGAGGTGCTATTCCTATTCTTCTTCTGGGGAAACGAAAGAGAGCTTCAAAACAAAGACTGCAGCGCCATCTGAGCCATTGCGCGGACTTCCGGCGGACACTTTTTTGACTGAGTGAACCATCTTGTTATGTATCATCATTGTGTTGATATCAGGTATCGATTGCTAGGAAAATGTATACATGTACAGGTTTAATAAATATTGTTGTTCCTTTGGGATAAACAAAGATCACAGAACTAAGATCAAAGAGTTGGTACCTCTACAGTAGAGTTGGTGAGTTTTGTGGGTGTTTTTGAGATTCTGTATGTTTTGTTCGCTTCTTTTTTTTTAGGGGGGGGGGGGGGGGGGGGGAAAGGGGGTCCCGTGTGTAATTGTTTTTTCATCATGAATTTTTTTGCCTGGTGGAAGGCTCAGTTGAAATTTTTTTTTTTTATCCCGTTTTTTAATTTTTTTCCCAAATCCCAAGAGGGAATGATTTTTTTTAAACAAGATTTGAAAAGGGGGGGGGGGGGGGGGGGGGGGAAAAAACATAAAACCGATGATGTGTTTTACACGTATATTTGTGAAGTGCTCTTACATACATGCCTACCGACTTACCGCCCACACACACACAAAAAGACACAAACAAACAAACAAACACACACACACACACACACACACACACATATATATATATATATATATAATATATATATATATATTATATATATATATATATATATATATATATATATATATATATATATATGTATATAATATAAGAGCAAAGGGATATTTGTAACCAAAAAAAAAAGAAGGAAAAGACAGAAAAACGAAGAAAAGGAAAAAACGACACCAGATTCACATTTGTTTATTTTATTTTATTTTGATTAATTTTTTTAGGTGTGGGGGGGGGGGGGACAAACCAAACGGCTTTAAATTAGCATGGGTGTACTGAAATACCAGTGCTTTTCCCAGGTGGAAATCCGTCGTCAGTCACCCCCTTACGGCCCATGTTTGGAGATGTCGAAAGAAAAAAACAGAGAACTGAATTTGTACGCCGCCACCTACAGATACACGGACAACACATGTAAGAAGACGTGTCTGCAGGCCACGACTATGACAGAATGCAAATGCTGTGCCGCAGGATACCCCTGCAACCCTTACGGTGTGGAGAAAGTGATGAACTACACTCTACCAGTAGGAGGCAACCTCACCTACTGCGACCTCTATAACGACAATCAGACCAACTGCTTCTTGCACGTGGATGCTAGACAGACGTCCGGCAATCTTGGGTGTGAGCATTTCTGCCCGCCAGCTTGTTTCGAAACGAAGTTCAAAAAGACGATCTCGTTCGGGTCGTGGCCGAGTTTGGCCGTGCAGAAGGAGTACAGTGGAAGGCTCAACTACTCCAGGTTTCAATCGGCGTATTCTTCCGTGGAAGAGTACCAGATCCTACGCCAAAACCTGCTCAAGCTGCACGTGTTCTACGAGCAGCTCAACTTTGAGAAGATCGTCACCACGCCCAAGTACGACTGGAGCATCCTGCTCTCAAACATCGGAGGCCAGTTAGGGTTATGGCTGGGCTTCTCGCTTCTCACGGCATTCGAAGTGATAGAGCTGCTTCTGGACATGTTCCTTAACGGAGCCTTCAGGATGGCCTGTTGTAAGTCAGCCTCCGCAAGGGGAAAGGTGGCCTCTGGGGGCCAGTAGACGGACTTCCCCCACACACTCACTCCAAGATTCAATCTCTTGCTTTTTTCTATTATTTTTTTAAAATTGTAGATCTAAAATTGGTGTTGTACTTGTACGTTGGCAAGGGGAACCAGTAGAGTAGACGGACCTCTCCCCCACACACCCACTCCAACTTTCAATCTTTTGCTTATTCATCAAGGATGCTTTTTATGGTGGATTTATGGCGTTAGT